CTTTCTTCGACAATGTAGACAAAGTGTACAGAAATATGAGTTTATACATATAAATATAGTATACCTCCATATTTTATTTTCCCCTGTGTCAACTTCTACAGTCATTTCCTGATCAATGGGCCACCGTTGACTTCCTGAGACATTTCAATTAACATACAAAGTGCTCAAATGAGAAGTCCTGTTTACTCCTTTTGGACAACCACAAGTCTCATCTGTCACTGACTGAAATATGCCAAAGAAATTGGCATGATTATGCTTTCATTCCCACCCCACTGCTCACATCAGTTACAACCATTAGACAGTAGTAGTAGTCTTATTTTTTTGACAGTACAACTTACCTGCCAATGGGGCAAATTGTCACATGTGCACACACGTGCACACTCTCTGTTCAACAGTCTACAACTTAAGATAAGATATGCAGATGTATTTGAATAATGTAGTTTTTTAAGGAGGCGGTTATTAAACCATTTCTTAAAAAAGCCTACTCTTAATCCAGGGGTTTTGGACAGTTACAGACCAATATCTAACCTTCCTTTCATATCCAAGATCCTTGAAAAAACTGTGGCAAATCAACTCAACTCAAATCAATTTCCATAGCAACAACTTATTCGAAAAATTTCAGTCAGGTCTTTTAACTACATCAGATCAGGGATTAGTCTCTGTATTGGTCTTGTTAGATCTAAGTGTGGCATTTGATACAATTGATCACCACTGAACACTTAATTTCCATAAAAAGAACTGCTTTAAGCTGGTTCAAATCTTACTTATCAGATCGCATCCAGTTTGTAACGATGAGTCCTCTCTGCACAGCAGAGTCACCCATGGAGTTCCACAAGATTCAGTCCTTGGACCTATATTATTCACCTTATATAAGCTTCTGCTAGGTAATATTAGGAACCATAGTATAAATTTTCATTGTTATGCCGATGATACTCAGATGATGATACCTTTCCATCAGACTTGACGAAACCAACCAGTTACCTAGGCTTCAAACGTGCATGTGAAGACCTGGATGTCTTATAATTCCTTGATGTTGAATTCTGGAAAAACTGAGGTTGTAGTACTTGGACCCAAACACCTCCGAGACACATTGTCTGCAGACATAGTTGCTTTGGATGCCATTGCCATGGCTTCCAGCACCACCGGGAAGAATCTGGGAGTTATTTTTGATCAAGACATGTCTTTTAACTCACACATAAAGCAAACTACAGGGACCGCCTATTTTCACCTTCGCAATATTGCGAAAATTAGAAACCTTCTGCATTGAGATGATGCAGAGAAACTTGTCCACGCATTTGTTACCTCAAGGCTTGACTACTGTAACTCCGTGCTTTCAGGCTGCTCAAAGTCTCTCCAGTTAATACAAAACGCTGCTGCACACATACTGACTGGAATTAGCAGGAGAGATCATATCACCCCTGGTTTAGTAACTTTGGACTGGCTCCCGGCAAAATTGAGGACTGATTTTAAAATACTTCTTCTTACATACAAAGCCCTTAATGTTCAGGCACCATCTTATTTGAAAGAACTCCTTACACCATACTGCCCCACAACACTGCACTCCCAAAATGCAGGGCTACTTGTAGTGCCTAGGGTCTCTAGACATAGAATAGTTAGCCAGAGCCTTTAGCAATCAGGCACCTTGGCTGTGGAATCAGACCCCTCGCGAAGCAACATTTCCATATTTAAGAGTAGGCAAAAACTTTTCTTTTTAGTAAAGCTTTTAGTTAGGGATGGTTTGTCTTTATTTTGTGAGAAGGCTTATAGTTTGGGCTAGGGTATTTTTTTAATTTAAATTATTTATTTCATTTTATTTATTATTAGTTTTATAAATATGTATTTGTGTGTATCTTGTTGCAGAAAGATTATGTGTCTCTGTTTTCTGTAAAGTGTACTGGGACCAGGCAGCTGGTGATTTTACACTTTAAATAAATTTGACTTGACTTGAATACAAAATATGTGCCCAAGACTTCCTTCTTTCATTTGATGTATACTGTTGTGATGTATGCAGCACAGTAGGGATGTCACGATCATGTTGTTTGCCCCTGATCCTGATCCAAGTCATTTAAAATTGAGTATCTGCCGATTCGTCCCGATCCGATACTTGTATTTTCTTAGATTATACAGTTGAACAGTGCACACTTTAAGTACATTAAATCAATCAATCAGTCAATCAACATTTATTTATATAGCACTTTACAGCATCCAACAGGTGTCCAAAGTGCTTTACATCAACCAAGAATAAACAACACAGCATTCAATAAAAGAAAAGAAAAAAACATGAAGCCTAGAAAACAGTAAGCTAGATAAGGTTACCTAAAATCACCAGAAGAAGAGGGAAGTTGTTGCACCACTACTGCGTATTAAAAGCCATTCTAAATAAATAAGTTTTAAGTTTTGATTTAAAATGAACAACATCCGTTATAGTGCGAATGTCAGGGGAGAGCATGTTCCAGAGTTTTGGGACAGCAACACCGAAGGCCCAATCGCCCCACTGCTTTTACCTCAACCTCGGGAGGAAACCTACCGTTGATCCAAAGACTGCAACAGCCGATTTTGCCCACCCAAAGTTAAAAGCTCAGACAAATATTAGCTAGGCCATTTAAGGCTTTGAAAAAAAACAAAAAAATTTTGAAATTGATTCTAAAACGCACCGGAAGCCAGTGTAATGTAAATAGAATGGGAGTGATGTGTGCACTTCTAGATGTACTGTATTTGTTAAAAAGCGAGCAGGACCATTTTGCTCAAGTTGAAGATGCGAGATGGATGTTTGACTTAGACCAACATAAAGAGCATTGCAATAATCTAACCTTGAACTAATAAAAGCATGAATAGACTTTTCAAAATTGTGCCTATTAAAAAAAGGCTTAACTTTAGCCAGGAGACGAAGTTGGAAGAAGCTCGCTCTGACAACATTGCTAATGTGCTTGTCAAATTTCATGCTGCTATCAAATGTCACACCCAAATTTTTGACAGTTTGCTTGGTGCATGAAGTCAAAGCTCCCAGACTTAAAGCTGGATTGTTTGACATAGATTTAGTACTGAAGATAATACACTCATTAATATCATTAATGCCATTAAGCAGGCAGTTTAGTGCAACACTGTCATTAGGTTTCATAGGCAGATAGATTTGCAGGTCATCTGCATAACAATGAAATGACAGGTTGTGCTTGTCTATTATAGCCCCTAACAGCAACATATATAAAGAGAACAGGATGGAGCCATGTAAACTCTTAGCAGTGCCGACTCAGTGCTGTGACGTGATCTAAAACCAAATTGAAATTTTCTGTTCTGTTGTAGAAAGACTTTTCCAACACCTTCGAAGGTAAGGGCAGATGTGAGACTAAAATTGCACAACACATTGGTGTCAAGATTAGGCCTGACTCGACTCGACCCAGTAGTGCTAAAAACCTCCTTCACCATCCTGGCGGGAATAATGTCTAAAGCACAGCTGGTAGGTTTCACGTACATTGAATTTCTGTCTCCTTTAAAAAGTGTCCCCCAGTGTGTGTTGCTTTGGTGCAGTGTTACCTGATCACTGTATTCTGCTGGGATGATTTTATTTTTCAGGTGGCTTATGAAATTGGTAGTACTGAACTCAGCTCTTTCAACATCAGTAAACACAACCCGCAAATATTTGTCTTTAATCTGGTTTAAGATAGCAGTATGAACCCAAAATAAACATCATCATCATCTTCATCATGTCTGTCCGCAAGATGATAAGCAAACAACTTTTAAAATGTTTTTTTCTAAATGGCATTTGGATCGACCAGGGCTATGCTATGCTAACTTGTTTCATAGCCAAGTACAACTATAACTTGAATCAAGTAACATATTTTCAGAACTTACCAGGTAGTTCAACTTCCTCACTTACTTTTCTTCAAGCAATCTACTGTTCTGTCCGGTTTCTGTATTAATATGAAGTAGTATCACAGAGCAACTCCTGAAGCACGAGTGAAGTTAAATCCACTTTTTAATCACCAAAATGAAAAGTTAATTTGACCCCTTGGCGCAGATTGTCGTGAATTCGCATCACACCTCTTCCTTTCAGACTGCAAGCCAAGATAGCGCATGGATTCCCCCAATGCCTGTTGGTGCATATTCGATACGTACCTAGGAACCTTTTGCAAGCCCTGGTTTCTCGTTTATGCCTGTTGTCGCTAATTTGCATCATACCTACATCATACCTGAATTTATATCTTTTCTATGTTCTATAGACAAATTAACACTCTTCACTTAATTTAACAGCTTGAAAACACAATTTATTTTATTTTTTTATTGTAAAAAAAATTCCAGCATCAAGGGGTTAATAAACGAAAGTATTTAATTAAAATATTTCCACACTGCAGACATTTTAGCCATGTCCTGCCATAGACTGCAAATGCCTTGATTGGCCCTGATCCTCAATCGTTATGTGTGTAAGAAGTGTGACAACGTACCCTGCTCTCCCCTACTGTATTAATTCACCTAAAAGTATAGAAAGATTTTCCAAAACTATGATGATTGGATTAAAAAAAAACAATTAGAGAGATTTGGAGAGATCAGATGAGTTTCCTTCACACATCACATATTAAAGCAAAGTCAAACGTTTACTGAGTAATCTTATAAAACACTGTTTGACAATTCTATTGAAAGTGGTTCCCTCAATGACAAGCACACATGTTTAATATGGCTCTTTATTTACAACACCAGAATGAACCAATTAATGAGTCACTTTTCACAAGAGGTTGTATTACATCCACTGAGTTTATGCATCCACTGAAACATTTTACAAAATAAGTCACAACAATTTTAAACATAATAACTGAGAAATTACATCAACAAGCAAAACAAGTTGGCTTACACTAATGAACAACCTTGCAGACTCGGCTTTAGTTTTTCAGTTTAAGTGTCGAGTTGTCAGAATTGCTGTTATGCTATTGCTATATTCTCTGTCAAAGGTAAATCAGCCACACTAGTCTATAAAATACCATGCTTTACTGGGCTGTACCTGGCTGTGCATATGTTTTCCAAATTACTACATTTTCTCTTCACTGGTCAAAAGTCAAAAACGTCGGGATAAGAAGACGACAAATCTGCCTTGGGTGCAGTCAAGGCACCTTTTTATGAGCTGCTTGTAAAACAATTTGTGTCTATGAACACAGATTCAAATGCCAAATAATTTTCTAAGGAAATATTAAAAAAGCATTTCAAGCCATTTAATCTTCATTTTCATCAGGTGCTGCTTCACATTTACAGTCTAATTTTTTTTTTTAAATATAGAAACACAGAATGTTGTTGTTTGTCTGAAAAGGTCAATTAATGCAACATAAAATAATCAATGGATTCCATCAAACACTGCTCAGGATAAAACACTTCATCACAGGCAACACACAGTCTTTACATAAACTCCTGTCACTTTCAACAAAAGGCTAACAGTTGGTTTCATTTTCTTGCTGGAAAGGTTGACCATCTTCTCTGACTAAATACAGATACAAACTTCCACCTGTCTTTGAAGGCACCTCTGCTTGTCTGTGGAACTGCAGCCCAACTAAAAAAAAAAAAAAAAAAATATATATATATATATATTCATTTATGCAGGGTTCGTATCAGTCAAAACAAACACATAAACATGTTGACAAGGGAAAGTATTTTCAGCACTAGATCAATGAGGGATAAACCTAGACCATACCTTATCAGGTGTGGCCTAGATTTGAATCTTGGATCTGTGTCATCAACATCAATTTGTATCTAGGACATAGATGCAAGTGTATTGAAACTACGTGCCGGCTGGCACTCTGCCTGTGTGACTGTTACTTACAAGAGGCTTGTTGGGGCTCTGGATGAGGCTGCATACAAACAGGAGGGAAGTCTCCAAACACTATAAGCATCACCTGCAGTAGACTCACTAGGTCACACTCGCCCTGGTAGGGGAAAGAAAAAGTCATACCAATATAACATGGCTGTAAAAGCTATAACCTACACTCTGCTGTACATATCAGTGCCAGCAAACGTCAGTCCTTAACTCTGAGGCGCGCGTGATAAAGTTTAAAGTCTCACATTCTTCCACTCCTCCAGGTAAGGCAGCATGACTTCACCATCGCTGGAAATATATTTTCCTCTGATGATCATCATCTCTGGACTAGGTCTGACATAGCAGATGGGAGCAGTTTCAGGGTAGGTTTCCTCAATCCACAGGCACACCGGGATGTTATAGGTGTGATCTTGTATGAGAACAGGGGGGAAAGTTATTTTTTGTCCTACATAATCTGAGATTGTGAGCTTTATCTTTCTTATTTTGGATTTGAATTGACCAGAATTCATGCCAAAGTCAGCTTCCAATCATAATTTAGCTGTTTAACAGAGTCACACAGTACAATATGCAAAGTCATTGTTACCGTGAAATATGACAGGAATGGTTCCGGCAAGACTCATCAAGTCCTTTGTGGTTCCATCCTTGTAAACTGTAAAAAAATAAAATAAAATAAAACAATGACGATGTATCATTTAAAGTGCTTGTCGGAATTTTCCACATGTTAAATTAAGTTCATGCAACAGGTTGTTTGCGGTTATTTGGCTTCCTACCGTATTTATCCATAATGGGCTCAAGGTTTTTGAAGTGAGTCAACGCAATGTTTATTTCATGGGCCACATATTTGCGATGATAGGTCTTCAAAACAAAAGGATAAAAAACAAACACTCAAAAAAGTCTATACATACTGTTTATGTTGGATTTAGAGGGAATTAATTCTTCTTTCAATTTTTGATGATTATTCTTACCTTGGGGAGCATTCTCTTAATCGCATCTTTGTAGTATGACATGATTATGGTTTATCCAAAAGGCAAATGTCACTTTTTCTTTTTCTGTGTACCTTGTCCGAACACCAACACTCAACAACCCTTGCCCTTTAGGTCTGTCTTGGGTTTATGGATAACCTTGTTTCTTTTATGACACCATGACAGGCAGTAACAGAAGAGCCTCACAATTATGCAAATCATCTGCCATAAAAAGCAGCACCTAAGCTACATGTCCTAAACAAACAAGACAGGAATATAACGGTGACCAAACAAACCAATGTATATATTAGTATAATTGAGGACTGCCATAGGAGCCATAGGTTGTTGTTGGATGGTGAAACTGTTTAATCTCTTAGATCAGGATCAATAGGATCACAAAAACGTCTTTTACATCTATCCAGCACCTTCATAATCAAAAGTGCTTTCAATAATGGCTATTATATTAATGTGTAAACGCTGTCAAGCTTTTCATTCCAGTGGTACCATAATGGTTATCATTCATAGTAACAAATAACCTCACTACCAGCAGTAATAAAATGCATAGACCTCCCAAATGTCATTTGGAAATTCATACTTACTGTACTTCAACACTGTAGTTGAGTTGAGTAGAGATTGGCTTTACAATCTGCTGAGCCTAACAAATTTGACATTGCATGTAACAGTTGACACACTTTCTCCTTCTTTTTCATTTGCTGAAAGAGACCAAACCCACACACGCACACACAAGAATTCAGCAATAACCACCTTACAGTATGCATTCCAGTGAAATGTTTCACGCACACACTCACACACTTTTCTGTGCAAGTCTTTTTCTTTAAATAATTACACATCAATTATATAGTGAGGGAAACCTCTACCAAACATAGATCAGGATTGATACCATTGATAACATGACACCAATTTACCAGCACAGGATGAACCCATTAACTTTAGAAACAGAGGTTATCTATGAATTACCAAAATTAAAAACAGGTATGCCCTGTTTACCAACCAAAAATTGCACCAATGATGGTAAAACACATGTAAACACAAGATGTATGACTGTCCTTAGAGCCTTCATCACAGCTGTACTTGCCCACATTGTGTAAAGTACAGGAGATCGAGCATTATGATCCTGCCATACAAACAGGAAAAATATTTGTCATGAACATTTATATAATTCTGCTGTGTTCAACAGTTAACACATGATACAACACAGCCTGTAGGTGGCAGCAAATCTAAAATTTAACAGAAACATGAGAAAGCTAGACAGTTGAGGGACCAAAGACACGGTTTCATCTTGACATCTTTATTCCTGTCCTGCAATACATTTTGCCACATTTTCAATGAGTAAATACATTTTAAATAGCTAAACAGTTGACATTTTCACAAATTCCTTCCACGCCTCCATTCCACAGTTTGCAAGGGGAGAAACAAGCCCTTGAGCCCACTGTATCCTTGTGCAAAACTCCCAATGGTCCGTACAGTCTTTGTCATGCTCGCCAGGTTTTCTGACATGTATACTTGTGGTTTGCTGGCTGGAGTTTCCCCGCGGCAACATGACGCTGATATTTTAATGCAGCGGGAATTTGAATACATACATTTGTGGAATTCTGTGGTATTATTATCACGGATTTACTGTTCAAACATCGACAGGGAGAGGGCAAGTATACTATCAGGACTGTAATTACATGTTACAAACGCCACGCTCTTATTCCATTAAAAGTACAATGGGTGAAAAATAAAAAGTTAGAAACAACACAGCCAAAAGTGGGACCAAGGATCAACTCCTGCATCATTTCAATATTGTAAATTTGAAACACAAGGCTTCTTTCAAACAATATCTAAAGACTCAAAACACATTCACAGTTCATATCCTTCCTCCAAGCAGAGAAATGAACAATTAACTGATTAAAAAAAACAACTTTACCACTACCATCCACACAGTAACTAGACTGGTGATCAAATTTCTTTAAGCCATGTTATGAGTTAAAGAGTCACTTTAACTGTATGAAATCAATTACGTCAGAAAAAAAATCCCTTGAAAGGAGACTACAGCAAAATAACATTTTGATGTCTTTCATGGAAGAGGTTTTAGATGTTTCTGAGGTTTGCATCTGAAGCTTGATGCCAAAACGTGCCTGTAGTGTCTGGGATTCCATACATTATCTTACATGACCACATCTCTAAACTGCAAATCTGGACTAAAAGTACATGGGAATGAACACGGGAGCAACCTGGCATAAAGAATTCTCTCTAAACAGAATCACATTCAGACGCACATGCCATTACAGAAAAAAAAGAACCCTTTTTAAAAATCAGTGTAGTGTTTTTAAGGACATGTCTTTCAAAATTATATACAGTGCATGTCTAAACTCAACACACTTCTATATTTTTTAGTTGCACACATAATCAAAACATAAACAAAACGATGCAGCCAAAAGAACACATCATCATCATCATCTCCTCAGGTAGAGCTTGCTGCATACATGAGGTACAAACTAGCGAACAGATAAGGCAAAGTATAAACAGAGCAGTCTTTTTCATTTAGGCAGCAAATTAATGCAGTCGTAGAGAATACACGCCAGTCAGTATGAAGAAACAAAGCAATGCACTCCCATAACCCAATCTCCATCTCCTATTACACACAATAGTCCCACATATACTGTAAATATGGTTGTGACATGATTAGCGCCTGACCTGTTATTGTTCTGTTGCAGAGCTGAGGTGGCAGAAAAAGGAGGAGCAGTTTGAGGATAGTATGGTGTGTGGAAAAACTGAAGTTTCACTTTGAGGCAGGACGTGTGCATCTGCAAAGCTAACCGGTGACATCCTAAATCCTGGTTACCAGGACTGTTAGGTGAGACCTTTCTGGACCCCGATTCCTGAGCCTTATCGTCCTCAAGGAACGATTTTTGCAATCTATAAATAGCCGTTATCGTCATGTAGTAAATAAGAGTTGTACACCGTACAGTTACTGAAATGAAATGCAAGACAAATCTACCGATTCATTTGAACCATAACATTGTCATTGTGTAACTGTACAAGTGTAGGGGTTTCCTCCTATTCTACAGGCGACCTCTCCAGCTTTAGCACCTGGAAACATGACAACAGCTACAGTTTCATGCACGGTACCTCTCCTTCCTAAAACAAAGTAAAACAGGAAAATAAGGAGCCATGAGAGGTGGTTTATTCCCAATACTGTGTGGACAGTAAAGAATCCTATTGCACCAGAACCTACATACACTAGCCATTACTATTATTATTCCACAAAGACAACTCTTAGCAAAGAAACACATAAAGGAGAGAAGGCAGCTGCATTCTGGAAATTTGTCTCTTTATATTCTCCATTCAACATTTCTATCCCAAAAGGAATTCCAACTATGTCAGGCAGGTCATGAAAAATGCCAATCCAGGTGCCATCTGAAATAAAAACAACCTTGCTTACATATTGCTCAGTGACTTTCAAATTCTGCAACCACAAAAGAAATGAAAGATTTTTATTTTTTTTTACAGCTAGGCTAACAACGACAAATGAGCCATTCCCATGCCAGCCTCCATCTCTTGTATCCAGTACGATGAAGGGACTACACAGCCATTCCAGGGAAACCAAAGGCAGGTAGAGGGTTGGGGAGTTGTGAGTATGCGAGAGGTGTTTGGGTAACTAAATGTCGATTCCAGTCCTTTTCATTTAAGTCAGTCCTTCCAGTGGCCAGGCAGTGGGAGTGGAATTAGGCTTTCAAGGTGGGAGGAGGTCAGAGACACCCCTTTAAGACCAGTGTTGAGACTGAAAACAATAAGTTAGCAGGAAACCTGTGGAGCTACCCAGCGAGACCACACTGGAGTTGACAAAGAGTCATTAGTGGTGTTGCTCACAGGTCGACGTGTGGACCAAAAAAAAGAAAAAAGAAAAAAGAAAAAAAAAAAAAATGGGGGCCAGACCAGACTAGATCAGGCAGCCACTTAGGCAACAGTCCAAATCCTCCTATTCATAAAAGGTCTATGGTTCAGTCAGCTCTGGTGGTTTCCTTGAGAGCTTTCGCTCCAATCAGCCTCTTTTTGAAAAAGTTTATATTTCATCATTGAGTTGTTTTATCTTTCTATCTTTAAAGTCCATGCTGTCACTAGCACTTCTCCTCAATGTGCAACAGTCAGCTGGGGAATGAAATGACAAGAGGGGGGCAGATATTAGTGCCATTTTATTGCTCCTAGTGACAAATTTAACTGACGGAGATGTGGTTTCACATTTGATTTTACTCACAATGGACATTCTTATAGATAAACAGACATCAGTTCTAGCATAACACATACATGTGGATACTTCCCACATTATTGCATAGGTGTCAAAGAAGAAAAGTAAATTTCTGGAGAAATGTCTCACCTGCATCACGATACCACACAGCGACAGCTCATACAGTCCTGACCGCTCTCATCAGGCGGGTTCAGCTTCCTCAGCTTATGCTGTCTGATCTCCCTAACCAGTGTGTAGAAAGCGTCCTCTACTCCCTGTAAAACACACACACAAACATGCAGAAAGGTTACAGAAAAATCTGGCCACTTACAATGGCCTGTTATAAGTTGAGTACACTGCATGCAAACCTCTCAGGTGTACTCACCACATAACCATGGCCACCCTGATCATTTCAGATACAGTTAATCAAGAGACCATAATGACTTAAAAGAAATCATGTTCTTTGCACAATTTGCTGCAGGTTCAGTGATGAATGTAAGAATCTGTATGTACCTACATAATGTGTGACAGTGAGTCAGAGACAGTGAGAGCTGTGTGGCGACTTCTCCTAATAATGAGGCCTTTCAAATACTGTAGCTATATTCTCAAGCCAAGGTAACCTGACTGTGAGTCATTGCCTGTCGCATAATAAAATGTTCCCTGCAACAAAAATCTGCATCTTCATGTGCATGAATACTTCTTGACTACAGTATGATGCAGCACAGGGAGACATCAAATCTGTTTTGTGGCTCGCGAAGACAGCAGGAAAAGTGATGATATCAGAGAAATTAAAAGATTTAAATACCAGAGATTGAGGGAGAGAGAGAGAAAGGGTTCTTCCATGAAAGTGCATGTATGGTGTGAAGGCGTCTGCTTCTTGTTCACTACCTACCTGTCGTGTCTTGGCAGAGGTCTCAATGTAAGGGATGCCGTAGGAGCGGGCGAGTTCCTGGGCTTGCCTTGTGTCCACTGTGCGTGCCGGGAGGTCACATTTGTTTCCCACAAGCACCATGGGAACATCGTCTGAGTCCTTTACACGTTTAATCTGTTCTCTGTGAAGTGCAAAATGAGGAAATTGCAATAGTTGACATTTACTTTGCAAATCTTTGGCTGTTTCCTTAACCCACCACAGCACTGCATTTAGTTACAGTGACATCTCTCTTGTCTGGGATCCTCCCTGCTTCATAAACAACAGCAGCTCTGCCACTGGAGAGCCAACCACCCAGGGAGCTCTAGGACCCTGAGGAAGAGCCACGGCCCGCCAGTGCTGGGCTGTGCTGCACTGCTGAAGGAGGGAGATTGGGAGGAAGGGAGGGATGGACAACAGGCAGGCGGCAAACAGCATTACCTCATCACTACAGCAGCCAGCGCCAAACGCCAGGCAGCCAGGGGGAACTGAGAGGAGTGGGTCAGATCAATCTATCAGCTCAGCCCTTCTTCTCCCTAAGTCACAGTACAGCAGGATGCATCCACTACAGTTAGCCCTGCCCATCTGCAGTCAACACAGCTGATGGTGCTTACGAACACAGTTGTTATGAGTCTTTATGGCACAGCAGACATGTTACCCATGACTTTATTATTTCAAGTCTAATAGGCCAAAAATGCCAGAAAACACCAAATACATATAATTGTATCAATCTGGTGCATTTTTCAGCGAAGTACAATGCTGCAGGTTGTTTCCAATTAAAGGGGGAAAAAATCAAGATACATTGCCTAGTTTTAGGTAGGTACCAAGCCAATATGTGCAGTGGAGGAGAACCTGATAAAAAAAAAAAAAAAAAAAATCATCTGACTATTTTTGACTATTTTTGACTATTTCTGTAAAATAGACAACAGATCTTTAAATAACTCAACAGCTCTAACCAGGCCGCCGCCTATTCAAGCACCCAGCCAAAGATCCGTGCATGCTTTCACAATTTGCACAATGGTTTTACAGTGATACCAGCAGTTGCGGGCCCAAAAAAAGGCCAAGCTGAAATGGCAGCGAGCCTTACAAATGTGTGTGTGTAATAACCACAAAAACCCTGCAAATCTGTGCACCTTGCCATGTGCAAGACTGGCAAGTGGGTATCTAATGTGATAAGAAAGACAAAAAATGTGGGAAAGAGAAAAGAACACTGTCATCTCCAGCTGAATCCCCACCCCCACCTCCCTGTCTCCTTCCCTGTCCTTGAAAGTGCTACCTCTCCCCGCTCCTCTAATTGAGTCAGGATCGATTTCATTGGCATCGTGCTGTAATCCTCCAGTCGGGGGCTAAGCTTTCTTTAGCTGTGTTAAACGCTACAGCATGACATCATCCAACTACTGCAGAGAGCTGGCACACATACGTATACACACCCCTCTTCATCCGGACCCCATGGGAGTCCCCTGTAACACACATTGCATATACAAATACAGTACACATACACAAACCTTAAAAAGAGAACTAACAGAAAATATTTTGTGTCTGCGCTCCACTGGTCTGTGATCAGGCCGGTAAATACACAGGTTGACATCTGCAACAATAGATCCCATAATGGTCAGTATCAATGTCATGATTTATGAGGCACCTGCATCCCTTAACCCTTTAATGCCTCACTCTTACGGACATCCACAAACACACACACCTGTACTGATGAATGTCCTCAAAAGACTTGGTGTTGTTGATGGCAAAGACACAGAGGAAGCCCTCCCCTGTCCTCATGTACTGATCCCTCATAGCGCTGTACTCCTCCTGACCTGCAGTGTCCAGGATGTCCAGCAGGCAGGTCTCCCCGTCAATCACAACCTGTTTCCTGTACGAGTCCTGCAGAAAAAAAAAATGGGAGAAACTCCAACATTTAGAGAAAAAACAGATGGTTCAAGTGGGATTTTAAGGCAACTGTAACTGCAACTCCCATCCTTGGCCTTGGTCACTCAGTGCTAAGCAGCATCAGCAACAGACGAGAGATGATGCTGATTGACTGTATATTAACTGGTGTCTTTTATTAATTCCCTGTCCACTTCCAGGTCAAATGAACGTCAAGAGATCAGAGGAGCAGGGTATCGGAGCCAATGTTTAGCCTTCCAACACACAGCCACAAAAACACGGAGTGCCGTCCCTTTGTTTGTTAGAGCATAGGGGCCAGGAATGCAAACACACAAAAAGGACATTGTCTGGCCAGAGGCAGGCATGGTGAGAAAGAGAGCGAGACAGTGGAGACAAAGAGGGAGAAAAAGAGAGAAAACATTCTGACTGGATTCCCTTTCCTCTTTGCAATGTCTGCCATGTCTTTCAGAGTTTCATGAAAATATAAGAATTATGGTGGGGAAGAGTAAATTTTTATTTTATTCTTTTATTTCTTTTCTAAGAAAATTAGTCCTGACCATTTGGAGAATTGTAGCAGCATTCAATTAATTTTAATTAAGTTAAATGAGCTTGATTTGGACTGGCTGTCCTCTCAGTGGGCTCCAGAAAATATTGTTCAGCAGTGACATCAGGACTGGACTTAACCACATGATCAACCCTTCCCTACTGTCCCTCCCCAACACCAAAGCTGCCTCCCACAAGAATATTGTACAGTACATGCAGAAGAGAAATACCTCTATGGTGGGGTCATATTCATCCACAAAGTGGTTCTGGATGAGCTGGATGGTGAGTGCACTCTTGCCCACGCCTCCAGCTCCCACCACCACCAGCTTATACTCTGTCATCTTTCCCGCTGCTGCTCACCACACACGCGCACACACCACTGCTGGGGAGAAGACAGGGAGCAGAGTAAAGGTGCAAGTTAGCACTCTGACAAGAAACGTTCACGTTGCCAGGTTTCAACGGAACAACAGACGTACACAGAGCTTTGACAGGCTCTGCCACGATGCAGTCCACAACTACAGGTACAGACAAAGCATACAGTTATTACCATTAGTGTCCAGTGGCGAGAAACATTTGTGGTTTTTGTGTGTGTCTTGTAGTGTGTGTGTGTGTGTGTAGTGGGAGCTGAGGTTGAGACCCTCAAAGGGGAATGTGAAAAATGTGCTGAAGGTACTCAATGTTCCAATCCTCTCCTGCTCAGTGTGAGAGTGTATGAGCGAGGGAGAAAAAGAAGGGGCATGACACTGGCAGACTGAACCTCATCACTCAGGCTTCACATTACTGATGCCTACACCTTTGAACCCACTGTGGCAGACACCACAGTCAAAATTCAGCAAGATAGAGCAATGGAATTATGGAAATATTTCTCAGTAAGTAAAATGCATAAAAAGTGAAATATCATTCAAATGGATCTGCACTCATTTTTTTCAATAATGAGCTAAATCACTGTTCACTACCACATACAAACCTACACTTTTTCTAACTGTTTCTTGTTGGTTTGCTTCTTCCACAGGGATCAATCCATAGCAACAGAACAAGAGGCCTAAAAGAGAATTTTATGACTCCAGGTGTGCTTGCAGTTGTTCCCTGTGGACCCACTGAACCCACTTAATAGGTCCAGTCGATGTTACAGGACTGCCCTGCCTATAAATCAAAGCATGTTATTAAAGAAACATGTCGGCCTCTTGAGAAAACATGAGTGATATCCATTTTTTGTAGGCTAAAACACCACCTTCAGAAGAACGTATGGACCTGGAGGACATTTGAAAACAGAGCAGTTCTGACATTGACGGGAAAATTTAAATTACCATTACGGCTTAGAAGGACATGATTCTGCTTAATTATCTGAAAAATAATGGGAAATGTGGCTAGCTCAAAATCAATCCTTTGGATGTGCGTTGGAAAATCTGCTACACAGCTAGGTTTTTATTAAAGTTTTTGAAATAATTAAGTTGTATATTGGATGGGTTGTAACACCTTAAATCAACAACTGAATGACAACAACAGATAGCAGTAGCAGAGCTGAAGAATAGAGCAGACAAAGTGGACGTCAGCGGCAAAGTACAACTATGCCTAATCCGGATTTTACCAGAAATATTTGGAAACTTGCAGTACGTGCCATCACAGAGCTATCGAGCCAGCTGGAACCACACATGTATAGCCATGCATAGACACAAGGCAATACAAAGACACGCACACACAGATCCCCTGACCTCACCACCACCTTCACAACACTGCTGGTCAGTGAAATTTCAAGCACATTGCGTTAAGTAGAAAAGGTAGTCATATGGGTGTTTCCACTAAATACACTGGCGAAATGTGACTCAGTCTATTGCAAATTTACCAGATTGACAAACATATGCCCTGAAAATGACCTGACACCAGCCCTGTGCTAGACATGATGGCACATGATGAGTCAGAGTGGGAAAGACATGAAGCCATCATGGAGAAAGATTAAATCAAATACAAGTTAGGGCTAGTGTGACCAAAAATATGGCTAACCACCACATGTAAAGTCTGCTGGAGGCCAATAGCAACTGGAGGAGCCTCCCATGGTTACAGCTTCAGTTTGACATCAACAACACTGAGTGGTCAGGTGACGTCATCACAACGATGTCATCTCTGACGTCAGAGCTCAGAGAAGAATCACTGGGAATTCTTGTACCTCCCAGGACACAATGAACTTGAGCAACAGTTCAGTTTCACTTTCTGTTTGACGGTAGTGACCAAAAACTCAAAAAGTTTTTTATTTTATGCATTTGCACTTTGAATTTAGTTGAGCTGTGACATTGCCACTTTCAACACAAACTTAAAGTAATGACATCTAAATCATTTTAAGCACTATTGGACACCGTCATCTACTTATGCGCCACCCTAACACCCAGAGCAGCCTCAAATTTCACTTCCTCAAAAGTAGTCCCTCTCATGTCTTGTAGTTCAGATGAAGCAGTTCAGAGTAAGATAAGGTCACATGGAGTTACATATCTCAGCCTGTTCGTCCACAGAGTCTCAATTTGCTGAATGAAAGAAACCTGCACCACCTGCTAGTATGTGTAAATACTGTCAGGATTTCAGGAGCACCACAGATTATGCGGTTTTACCTTCTCAAGGGCTGCAACTGTCATCCCCAACATAAATTATTGTACTACATGTAGCTCTGTTACACAAAATCCTTGCTCACCACAGAGTGGTTGAACATCAGCGCTTTAGCCAGCCTGAAAAGAACACATACACACCCTCTCTCTTGTGCTTCATCTCCCAAAGGAGCACGCACACAGCTGGAGTGAATATTAAACCTGACTTGTAGAAAGAGAGCAGTAACAGGTGGCCAGTTTAATGAAAGGAAAACATGCAAAGCATTCAAAGAAAACTAAACTTGTGAAGCTAATTCATTCGTGGGCAGTCAAAAGTAGACATACACCTATGTATATTTGTCTCCGAGTATGGTACGTAATTAGTAGCATCTGCATGCACCTCTGTAAAACCTTTGTGTTGTTGCCTCAAATTTCGTTATTGGTGTCCGAGATGTGTGTGACTGTACTGACGTGGGGGCAGGCTAAGATTAGCCAAGGCTAAGACTGCCTTACTGATGTTAATGATTGACAGAAAAACAGACTTGTTAACTGACAACATAGGCATTTAGCAGCTCTCGATCACACTGACACACACACGATCCCGTAAGCCATTGCTCGCCTTAATGGAACAGGTAGCTCTGAACACCATCACCAGTATCAACAATGCCTCCTTGTAAAAACACCCTCACTGCTATAATTCTCAAGCACAGAAGGAAGGGAATCATCCTGAACCCTCAATCTTGTGGCCAAACATTTAGCTTCCTTTTTCCTCACTGTAATATAAATCAACCTGGTACAGAGTGCAGCCCGCCCTGGCTAGAGTACAGAGACCATGGCAGAGCCAGCCTCGCTCCTCAGAACCTCCTTTAACCAAATAAACAGCAGCTGTGTGAAGAGGAGGGACGTGTGCACTGGGCAGAGAGATGCTGGAACACCTTTTGTTAGTGTAGGCTACACGTTCAGTACAGGGCAAAGACTCACATCAGGGCCGATCTAGTTTAATGTGATGAAAACAGCATGGGAACAAAATAACGTGTTATTACAGACTGGTCATTGAGATTAAAGAAAGTGGACTTTCTCTCAAATCCAGTTCACTAAAACGGGTTATTGTCGATATATTTTTTGTCGAGTGATTGCTTTAACACTAGCATGGATTACATGAAGATTTGTGAGGTAAATCTGTAGAATGCCATTCCCAGTCTGGTAGGTGACTTTTGCCAGAGGGATATTTGTATTCCCACTCCCGTATTACTCTTCTGTTGCTTTCTGTGACTCCCTCTACTATAACCTTCCACAATAACAGCACAACCCAGTTGTTAACCTACACATTCAGACTTGTATAAAAATAACTAGTCTGTTACATTAGTAATATTTATTGGTCAATCAGATCTTCCCAGTCCTTTTAGCATATACAGTTACCCTAAACTTTACTCATACTTCAAATTCAGCACCTGCTTCACTATCATGTCAAGGTAATGATAAATGCTCACCATGACATGTCCATGCACAAAAAGCATTTTAATAACTATTTTTTAACTTTTATGACAATGAATTGACCTGAGAAGTGATAAAAGATATAAAATGTAAGACACACACACACACACAAATAAAAACAAAAAGAGATTGACACCTGCACTCTCTCACTTGCCCACAGTTCTCCAGATTCTGACACGGCGAGTTGCCGCATTTCTTCTACATAACTAGATCTCAAGTGTACACCTGCCAAACGATTAAAATTTACAGCCTGAAATGCAAATTCAACAAGCCCGCGCCGGCTACTGGGAGACTGGAGAAACGAAAACAGACAGCCGTGCCATCTCCTCTCAAACTAGGTCATGTCAGCAGCTGATTAATAATCCACACATACACATATGGAGATGAATAGCAAAATGAATCATTGATGAGATTCTGTCGCTTTCTCAAAGCCACTTGTTGTCAGTGGGGGCTAATATGGAGCTGGTCTTTGTGCAGATAGAGAGGAGGGATGCGGACATAGGCACTGGAGATCACAATCTTCAGAGCATGCATCAATCTTTTTACATTTCCACACAGAGATTAAGCATAAGAAATTTTTAACTGTTTTTTTAAAATCGTTATCCTGTCCCTATAGTGGTGCTGTGCCCTCCTCTGCAGTCCTGATTTTCATATTGTACAGTAATTACAGTCAACGCATGTTTAAGATGTACGGTCCTTATTTGCCCCAGACGTGCAACAGGTTGCCACATTTGGAGGGTGAGATGATCAGAATCTATTTTGTAATTTTAGATCACAGTAACGCTATATGTCCCTTCAAGTAACTGTTCTGTAAATTGGAAATGAAATAGTTGAAAATAACAGTCACATTTTAGTAAAAAAAATATTATGCTCAACTTCCATAGAAACAAAAACAACAAAAATTCCTACTGCTCATCATTTACAATCTCACTCTCTGCTCCATGTTTTCTTGTCACTCCCGCCACCAACTGACGCTCTCACGTCACATGAAAACCAGTCCTGCTCCCCAAATCGTTGCGAAAATCCCTACCGGGGGATACATTTAATCCGTTACATGTTATATATAGTCACGTTACCCAACACTAGAACACATGCCAAGTACACTGGTAAATACATATAACCACAGTGAGGCTACACAATGTTGCACTTTTTCTGTCACAGCCATTAGGCTATTGCACGAGAGCAAAGCCACTTGTACTAACAACTCAGCTCATCAAAGGTGAATAGAGTAGGCTTCCTGCTACCACTGTTAACATACATGAATCAGAGAAAGGGTATAGCTGCAGTGTCATCTACAAGTTGGTGACCTAATTTGGATTAGGTCAAAAGTCTCCACAATCTTTGCATTGGCTGTTGCCCTTTTTGATCAATGAGCATTAAACATATGTCTTTGTTTAGGGTTATTTTACAGTATGTCTGTGTTTAGGGTTATTTTCAGCTCACCACCTCCAGTCTGGGAAATTAACAGTTCGTTTTGAAACCCTAGAGCCCTGCCTGGAGCAAGAGGATGATATTACATGACAGCTTACGGAGGGTGCGAGTGCAGAGCAGCAAGAGGGCTGATGGGAGGAGAGTGGCTGAGGGCGAGAGCTACTCATACTATATGCCAAGGGCATGAAACACCCAATGAGGGAGGGGTCGACCTGGAAACTGAAAAATGTATAAAGACAACAATAATGAAAATGCTCAACATTTTCCCATGGCAGAAGCAATTCAACTGTATGGCTTTGTTAACTACAGTCAATAACCATATCTCTGCTGTTTCTATGATTCCAATTCCATCACTTCAAAAACACACTGTGCAAAAAGGCGAATGAATGAATGGCCATCTTCCTCAACATGCATGCCGCTCTCCATCAAAGTGCCTAATTGGTTAAAGAATCCATACTGGCAGAGCCACAAGCCCACTGCAGAGATAATAGATTTTTAATGGAGCGATGATGGTAAGGAGACCCTCTCTAGGGAGGTATCACAGTCGAATACTGAGACTCCAAGACCGTTCCTAAAGCCTTGATAGCCCACCGCACCCTCCCACTGCTCTCAATGACATCACCCTCCTAAACAGCATCCAAACATAAGTGTTGACCGGCAGCTGAGGAGTCAATATTCTGCCAATGGTACACTAGTAACTTCAAGCAGTTATGAAGTCTATAAATTCTGAGATAAATCCAGTAATTAGGCTATACCCCCTTAAAAACTATCAATTGAATTCACCCTCTAAGGTAGAAGCCAGAGAAAACCCCCAAGCATGAATGAAACCGTACTTTTGCTCAAAGGGAAACTCAAGAGAAAAATCCCTTAATAAACAGTTCCTCCGCCCAATATTTTCTCCCTTACAAACATTTATATAAAGCGTTTCTGTGTGCATCTGTGTGTATGCTTAAACAAGCCACTCTTAAAAGGCACTAGAGTAGAAGTGACCTTTTCCCCACTGGGTCATCCTTTCAGCTTGTTGGATTGGGTGAGACGGTCGAGGCAGCAGCAGAGATGAAAAGGCCAGCTGACCTCCACACAAAGGCCGGACAGTTAGAGGAGCCGTGAGTCTTCTCATCGGACACCAAACACCCCGAAACTGATCAGTGGTCTTTTTTTTTTTTTGCAAGCAGAGGAATGACTAAATCTTGTCCAGCTGTTTCAGTGCATGTAAAAAAAAAAAACAATTTACAAAAATATACACTCTGCACAGACAGTACATAGTGCGTCACATAAACTAAGCATACAATCAGCCTGTAGAAGGTCCCACCCAATGTTTAGCCAAAGAAAAATGAATTCAATACCGACATTCTTCAGAATAATTACCCTAAAGAACAACGACAATATCAAGTATGAGCTATGATAGAGCTTTATATTTAACAAAAACACATCCCTAACATATGCTTACAAGTACCCAAAAGAGCATATCCTGAGCAATCTTAGAGCCTCACACCGACACATTTAACAATTGATAACAAACGCAAACCTACAGATGACAGCAGTATGAAAAGTTGTCATTTGTAAAAGCTTGGTATCCAGAGGAGTCACACTGGCATGCAACTGGGCACCACCCATGGTACAGCAGTTCAGAGAAAAAGACTAACATCACACCTCTACCACTGGCTGGACTGTCTCCAGCTGTTTCCCCAGCTGCCTGAATAAGTATTGCCTTCAGTCTGAATGCTACAGACACCGGGCCTCCTTAATTGAACCCATGTACTCCAGCCAACATGATCATGCAGAAAATAAGGACATCGCTGACTTGTTACATATTACTCATATATGATGTTTGGTCAGCAGCAGTTGTGTTGTGGTGGATTAAAAAAGATGACACATGAACAGCAATCAGTTAAAAACCATATGCCTGACAATAAACAAAGTCAAACACATTTTGCTTTGTTGTCTATAAGGACCCCAACTTAAATGTTAGATGCTACTTTGGATGATGAATACAATGAATTCGGGCGAAGATGTGTGTCAGCTCATGGGTTGGGTAAACTGTTTCTACTCCTGTCTTAACAGTCCCCATGGCCATAATTTGGGTCAATTAAACCTACTAAACATCTTTAACAGACAGCTTTGAGAGTCGAAATAATACCAAGTCAGCTTTCTAAATGCCTTGTAATGGAATCTAACTTCCGCAGTGATACACTCGTTTTTACTCAGTGTGACGGGGCGTCACCCTACTTGTCTGCGCGGGGCTACTATCGACAACTGAAACCTCATAACGTTTCTCAAGACTGTCTTTACATTAGACAAAATACAGGCGAGAGAAAGTAATTTCCCCTCTCTGACTATGTTAATTTAAATGCCTTCGGTTTCTTTTTCATCAGGAGATGAGGGGGGAATCCACGGCGGTGTAATGTTATTCCTCCATAACCAAGTTACAGCACCCGAACTCAATAGAGACTGTTTGTCAAAACAGATAATTGTTTTGTTTTTTTAAACTGAAGCACAGGCAGAATCCAAAACCTATGTAATTCCCCGCAAATGCAGCCAGGACTAAAAAAGCAGGCATGAATTGTTGAGCTCGATAGATAACGTTAACGTTAAAGCTCGCCCGGCGTGAATTAAAATGTTAGGATGGCTAGCTAACATGTTCTAACAGCGGACCGCAGTCTCCAACGGTGCCCAAAACACTGAAAGCATTTACAGCGGCATCATCAGACAAAAACAGCCCATGCCGACATATTTCAGAAATGTGCACTACATACTTACAACAAACAGATGTCTAATTAGCGACTAAGAGCAACGTTTCGTCTACCGGAGAGGAAAAAAAATCTTTCAACTCTGTCGCCTCTCAGCTGTAATCAGAAGGAAACAAAATGTTCTTGGTCTGCTTCCCGCCGTCTTCAGATATCTGCGCCTTATTCTCGCGGAGAAAGTGTTTAATTTTCAGCAGCAGCTAAAATACACCAAGGCATTCATTGGCTCTGGGTAAAATGAGCCCGCGTTGAACAATGTGCTTCCACAGAGAGTAGAGGGGATGAGGAGTGTGGAGCCCACGCCCAGCTCTATCAAACATAGGACCGCCCCGGTTACCATGCATGTTGCTGCTGCATTCACGTGGCGTCGGAAATATGGCAACTCAGCGGTGAAGGCCAGCTGACTGTAACATTTCATTGTAGTAATGAAGGCCTCTTTTATTATTAGGCAAGGGCGTATTTTTCATGTCACTGTTGTGGGGACACAACATGTCCTACCAGGAGGCTTTTAGAAATAAAGTCGCTGAGGGACTCAAAAAAGGTAGGTACCACCACTGTGAGGCACATGTGGCAGGGGCTTTTTTATACGGTCTATGGGTGGGACATAATCTTTCAAAACTTGAAAAACGCATTGTAGTAGAGAGCAATAGCTGAAGACCGTTTGTGTGTGCTACCAAATACATTGACCAGACGCTGATAGACAACAGTGGTTATATTTAATTGTTTTGATCAAAATGATTGCTTGGGACAGTTCAATAGCTGCTATGAAATCAGGTTAAGAAGCGATATTTATTGAACTGGTCGCAAGAAATAATAATGATTATTTAATAAATATTCATATGGTTACTTTTTATGGAAGAAATGTAGCTTGTATACAGTATCATACTTGACATATTCATTTCATAAATCTCATTTAACTTTTGTCCTTTCATGAACAGACTGTAGACTACAGACTATTAGAACAGGCACTAGCAAGGATTTTAAAAATACTGAGGTAATGAGTCTAAATTCCCGCAGCACAGCCCCACCCATCTGAGAAAACCAACCGAACTGTGTAAAAGTTTCTGAACAGTTTTCAAAACAATAACAAAAGTTCATACTTTATGCATGAATTTAACATTATATTTCATTTATATTATTTTCCCCAAATTTGATCTCATCATGGCCTTATTGATGTTTTAAAAGCCTGCTCTTTGATGACAATATTTAGTTTATAAAAAAACAGCATAAAATCATAGAACTCTTCATGCTATGAAAACCCCCACATTCCCAGATATTAGCCATGGGGCTTGCTCAGCGAATTGCTTAGTATTAGTTTGAAGTTAAGAAAGCAGTTATTATTTACCATTAGCATATTCCTTATTATAGTAGGCTTCATTAAAAGAAAACATTAATTATGTAACAAAATACATTTTAGCTTACGTTTCCAAAGGCAGAGCTTACAACGAGCATTTGAAGGCAGCACTAGACTGAAGTAGCCTGGTTAAGGTTATGGTAGTAGAAACATAGGATTACAGATGTATCTTTTATAATAATAATAATAATAATAATATTAATAATAATATAGAATAACTATAGCTAAGAGCTAACCTCAAGAGTTGTCCCGAAGCGCTAGTCGTTCCACGTTCACTACATGTCCCAGGGTGCCACGGGTCCCTCATTGCCGTATCCAGGAAGTCGTCTGTGGTTGTCAAGCAAACTTTTGCTTGTAAGCAAAGTGCTCTCAGTCTGTAAAATGCATAGACCGTCTATTTAGTCTGCAGTTTCATGCAACAGGTAAATATAAATTCCAAGTAAAATGACCATGTAATGTTTCGTTAGAAGTAACGTTACAGTCCAAGTGGAATATTAATTAAATCGCCTCCCGCATTGTTTTCACATGTATAGCGCTAGTTGGTTAAGTTAGCTAATTTAACGCCAGTTAACGTTACATAACGTTCATTATTTCCTCTTTGTCAAAAAGAAAACAGTCAATCGTGTTTGTAAGACACTTTAACGCTGTTCATTTCAGGTAGTCGTGAGAGATGAGTTGCTGCCACGGGTCTGTACCCCGGGAGGTCCGGCCGGGTACAGCACGGGTCCTAGTGACAGAGCTGAGTGGATCAGATCACATCAACCCAAGTCCTGCCACGAAACCCTGTGAGGACTCTGAAAGTACAGTGGAGCTTTACCTTGCTCCAGAGAAACTGGTAAGATTTCACAAGTGCCTATGGATACAGTCATCCTTCACCCCCCTCATAACCTGTTCTTCCTTGTCTTTGTCTTATTTCTATGTTTAGTCTATGTGCATAGTAGGCTAAACCTCTATTGTCTGAGATATCTGTTATTTTCACTTTAGTGTACATCACAGCAGTGTCAGAGGCATATATGTAGCTTTATTCCAACTTGTCTGTGGACACTGGGGTTGGGGGGTAATGGCATATGTCAACATGGAGATTTAACATCTACTTTATGCATCGTGCCTGTATAGCCATGTGTGTATTATCACGAAATAATTCTGTTATTGCACTCTCCTATTCGTAATGAACTGCTCCATGAGCAGTAACTAGAGAAAAGGCAGCACACGCTTTGCAGATTGCTGTTTCAAGGTGAGGTGGGCAGACAGAATTATTTCACATTACATGAGGCTTCAGACAAATTGTTACGTCAAAGTCACAGCGTAAGGTCTAAGGCAAATATTAAATTATTAAACTCTGACGAGTAAAGACAAAATCCATTTCGGTATGCTAGTACAGGTCTGATGTAATGTTACTTTTCGTCCCTCACAGGAATTGCTGTGTGGAACTCGGGACCTCTCTCACGTGACCTCACTGGAGATCTGCGTAGACACACAAGAAAACACATTGGGTAACTTTGGTAAGATATAAAGTACATCAAGGCATTTATTAATGTAAATCATGGCTTACTATTTCAAACCATATGGCACAGGTACAAAGTTTGTTTGTGTACTCATTAAAGCTCACTGTTTGTTGTTGGTATTGGTTTTATTGTTTATATTTAGTGTTCCTTATGTGAACATGTCCACACGCTCAGTAACTCCTGTTACATTAAAATTCAGATTTAAAAATTCTGACAAAGATTTTTAGGCACTGTACAATGATGATTCACAACAGGTGCCTATAATGATCACATAAGTAATCACAAACCAAAACTGGATAAGAGACCAATAAAAACACTGCTATGACGCACACAACATATCCGTACTAGATTTCCTGTCAGGTGTGCCAACCTTATTGCAAGAGCTGATAAATTGTGGAGGAACATCTTCATTATGCTCACCTTTGTTCTCAAATTTGAAGATTACACAACGAGTGCAGGCATGATAGAGCGATGTCTGTATATGTATGAGTCATGCCTGGCCTGCCACTGTAGGTGCTCTTCCTTTTAGGTAATTGAGTTTGGAACAGAATGTGGATGCTAGTTTAAAAGCCGATAAATAAACCCCCTACTGTTACACGAAAGTGAGAGAAATGGCTTTGTTTATCTGATCATCTTGTAGGTGCCTACTTGCCCAATCTGATGCAGCTCAAAATGAACAACAGCATGATTTTGTCAGTAAGGTAAGCTTAAAGTTACCTAACACGCATACCATCTTGTTTTCCTCCTGGTCTGTGTTCTTCAAAAGCAACATGATCCTGGTAGAACACACGTAATCACACTTTTATATAATGTTGACATTTCCTCATGGAATACTCTACTGTACTTAAGTACAAATTTGAGGTACTTGTACTTTATAGTAGTATATTCTTTTCATGCCACTTTCTACTTCTACTCCACTACATCTCATCTCAGAGGCAGATATTGTACTTTTTACTTCACTACAATTATCTGACAGCTTGACTTACTTTACTTTAAAAATTAAGATTTTAACACTCAAAACATATGAAGACTTAATAACATATGTTTTGTTTTCAATTAAACTACCCAATATTTTATAAAAGTACAGCTGACACGATTATTAGATTGACATTGAACTTTGATCATTTTAGACAACATTTCATGTAGTGTTGTAGTCAAGACCGCCCAAACTGAGACCAAGTCAAGACCAAGACCAGAGTTTATTGAGACCAAGACAAGACCAAGACTTTTAGGGGCTGAGACCAAGTCGAGACCAAGACCAGTTTCCCACATTACGTGACACACAATAAAATGTGGAACGAGATCATAGGTACTTCTCAGATTGATCTGAATGATCCACATTCCCATTAAAACACCCACATACAAACACTAAGAGCTGAAATTAACGTAAGCATCTTTATTCAACATTCTTTTTCCATGCTTACCATCGCGGGTAGAGGTGACAATTGTTAACAGGAACAACACATTTTAATTAGGGTTATTGGCTGTATTTGAAGCACTACATTTTATATCCAATCAAAGTAACGATGTTAACAAATAAATCAGACAATGCACAGGCAATTTATTGATATTCCCAAAGTTATGGTCTTGACTAGTCTTGAAATAAAATCCTGAGTCCTCTATGTCTGAGACCAGTACAAATGCGGTCGAGTCCAAGACAAGACCAAGACCATCAAAAAGTGTCTCGAGTCCTACAACACTAATTTCATGGTTCCTCCTTCACAAATGTGAATATTTGCTACTTTTCCTTTTACTTGTTTTAATTGATTTGTAATAATTTCGAGCTTCATACTGTTGGTTAGACAAGAAATGCATTGTGAAGGTGTCACTCTGGCATCTGGTTAATTGTGATGGCATTTCTCATATTTTCAGAATTTCAAAAATCGATGATTGGAGATATTAATGAGCAGATTAATCCATAACAATAAATAATCATTAGTTGCACTCCTATACAAAATAGTTAAAAATTAGCTCCTCCTCAACAATTACAGCAGTAAAACCCTGCTTTTACATTAATGCATGAGTAATTATAATAATCTAATATATAATAGTATAACGGGGCTTTTTTTTGCATTCAGTACTTTTACTTTTAAAACTTTTTCAATGCAGTACTTTTACTTGGAAAAGAGTATTTTTACAGTGTATGTTATAATGAATGCAATTGTTAAATAAATAGGAAAGTTTGCCCACTGTATTTTTAAATTCATGTCAGCAACCCCTGACAAACATAAACCCATTATTATTAGTTATTTTTAAAAGCAGGTACTTTTGTACTTTGACTCAAGTATAAATGTTAATTGGAGACTTCTGTTTTTAGTGGAGTAATATTCAGCAAGGGTATCTGTACTTTTACTCAAGTACAGGATTTGTGTGCTTTGTCCACAACTGGGAATACTACAGAATCTCAAGAAGCTGCAAAAACAAAATATGGCTGAATTTGTACGCTTCTTGTCACTGCATGAACAATTTCATATTAACTGTAGCTTATGTTTAGAAATAAAGCAAGCAGCTCCAGGTCTTTCCATAAAGAAAACTGTAACTGATGTAAACTGATCTTGAGAAGTGATGTAACCCATGTCATGCTTCACACAGGTTACACAAGACACTCTTTAGCAAGCAGCCCTGGAAGCTATAAAAAGGCAGTGCTTTGAAGCAGAATAGCAGGTCAAAAGTCACATGGATGTGTACCTGATGGAAATAAAAGAGTAGTGTGGTTGGAGTGCAGATGTAGGACTTTGCTGTGCTTTTACTAACTGGGACTTGTAATAAATGTTTCTGCATAGGAGATGCATGTTGCTGCTTGTAAACCAGACACCAACAGATGTGGTGTTCAGTACAGTTCACCCACCTGTCTCACAATAGTATACACAGGGGTTTGTGGCATATCAGCTTTCAGATTTGTTCATTTGGACACTCCTGGGAAAAAGACAAGAAATATGCACAGTATCTCCTGGATTGTCCTACCAGTTTGATTGCAGCCACAGCTGTGTCATCAAAATTGGATAGAAGAAAAGCAATAAACCTCCAGGATGAGACACACACACATTGCAAATTGTCCTTATAACAGGACAGGTGGAGAATTGCTTCCACAGAGACTGCTGAGGGATGAGACGGTACAAACACAAAGATAGGGAGCTGTCTGCTCCACCCTGAGAGTAGCAGAGCAGAGCCAGCCGGACGTGCACTGCCTCTGATAGCATTTCCTGCTCTGGGCTATGGGAGCTGTAGTCGAGAGGGTGTCTCAGGGTTGTAGATATACACTGAATGAAACTCTCCTGGAAGGGTCAGAGCACGGGTGTGCTGTAGAGACAAATGGGAGGCAGGGGAGAGGCCAGCATACTGGGGAAGACAAAAGAGCTTCTAACTTAAGTGGCCATGGAACTGGAAAGCCTTTCCCATGATTCACAGCGTTGTGTAACTCCATTCCCTGCCTCTAAATCAAGTGTGTGCAATTTTGTCTCCTTAGAGACCTAGGAACCGCCCTTTCCCACCTGCAGGTGCTATGGATGTCTCGCTGCTCCCTACAAGACCTAGATGGCATTTCTACTTTCTCCTCCCTCAAGGTAGAGACAGTTCAGCAAATCAGCAACAAATCCCAAAGTACTATACTTTCCTAATTTTACTTTAAATGTTTAAAATGTATAATGAGCAAAAGAAAACAAGTCAAGGCATACTTGACTTACTGGTTTTTAAATTTGTTTCTTAACTTTACCATAATTTCCATCTGTTGTGTTGCACTGGTGACAACTTTTTACATGGGTCTAACAGAAAGGCAGGCCATTTTCATATACATACAGCAAAATATGGAAAATTCCTAAGTTATGATATAATACATTACATTAGCGATCAGATTTCCTGTGATCTTAAGCTCCTAGTCTCTGTGAGATGGGTAGATACCATATCTGTCTCTCTGACTCTGCCTGTTCCAGTTCTGTGTCCACAGTATTACTTCTCTATTAACTCCATTTGAATTAAATTTTTACCAATCTCTACTACGCTGTATGCGCATTCTCTCTCTGTTTCAGGAGTTATATGTGGCCTATAACGATGTGTCGGACCTGAGTCAGGTTGGCATGCTTGAGAACCTGCAGCTGTTAGATCTGGAAGGGAACGATGTGGATGACCTAGTCCAGGTTCAGTATCTCGGGTTGTGTGGCAAACTCCAGACACTCACCCTGGAGGGAAACCCTGTGTGTTTGCGCCCAAACCCCACTGCCATCCAGGTAGGGTAATGTTCTGCTAATGTTGTTTATGCCATGAAACTAAGTACAGTAATATACAATTTGTCACCACCTATTGAGAAAGATGGCACATAACATAGATGAAGTGTAACTACCATTTCTGGCTTTTCCTTCACCAGGGGCCTCATTGATAACCGATGCGTAGACACAAAAGAGGGCTTGAAATGTGCGTACGCTACTTTGTAAGCAAAATTGGTAATTTAAAAAAGAAAATTGATGAGTAAATGTGCATACATTTAGGGAAACTTTGACCCATGCATACAAACATTTTGAAATCGCTGACGCAGATGGTGAGGTAGTGAATTAAACTATACACAAATTGTGTAAGGATGCCTCTCACACATTTCATTTCACTTAATATCAAACATTAATCACAGATCCACATTATCATTAACATCCAATTCAGCAGTGTTATTTGTAGGCTATTTGCGCTTGTAGTGAGCCATAACTATACCATAAGGACCTTTCCCTTTGAAAAGAAATCAAATCTTAAATCAAAGTTCGCTTAGTATTTCATCAGCGCTGTCTCATCTTCACATCCCCACATAGTTTTTGTATAGTTGTGCGTGTAAAATTGCTGCAGTGACGTACACACACTGCCATTCTAACCGCGACTCACAGCACATCTTCAGCACGTGCACATATGGATTATGTATATTACCAACATCTGGAAATAAAACCAGTGACAGCTCTCACACAGTCACTACACTCCATATCCTCATCATCAGTCTTAATTATAATGCAGGCCAAGCATAACAAAACCGACGGTGTTCACCTGTCAAACCTCCATCTTCACATGATATCCCTGGGTGATGGATACCACTGGTTGACTCAGACATTTTGGCAGAATGTGAAGTAATCAGTATGATTGCCGTTAACATATAAATGTTGCGTGCATCGTATGATGACTGGCTAATACACCGATTTAGATTCCCTAGGGCCATACTCTTTGATCTGCTTGCTGAACTGGGTCCAGCGTTTGACAGACCAACCCGGCACAATAAGTAGGTTATAACCACTCTGGGGTTTCTGGCAATCGGCTATTAGCAGCAAGAATTATCCGACAGGTGTGTGTTTGATATGATCAACAATATGTAGTGTTTACCTTTCTGCCCAAAGCCCTTTTTGGCAATAATATAATTCTGTTAAACATCAGTTACCTGCAGGTGTGCGTATGCACAGTTTTATAAATCAGATGTCTTTTTGGTGCGCGCCATTTTTGTTGTGCTCACGTACACTTTTAGAATGGACCCAATGCACTGTTTTGTAATTGAGGCCCCTGACCTATCTTCCTGTCCTTGCCAGGCTTCTTTTTGTCCTTTATGATTCAGCAGACACAGATATTCGAAAAATAAGCATTGTCCCTTTGGGAGTGTAGTGGAATTGGAGACATCAGCGAGAGACAAAATTAGCCACAAAAGTCATGTATCTGCCTGTACTGTACTTAAGACAAACAGTTATTACTGATCAGCAGTTGTGTCACCATCCAAGCGTGATAATGCTTTGATGATAATGCAAAGAGGACTTTAAATGGAGGTGTGTGTGTTTAATGTGTCTAATAGACATTTAGCTGTGGTTCCCATCCAGATTAACATACTGTGAGCACAAAACAGCAGAATACACTTAACACATAAAATCATGGCTCATTGCCACCTGAAGTAGCAAATACCAAGTGATGCAAGGGTCAGAGTCACAGCAATCTGCCAAAAGATATAACAAAAAGAAGAGAACGGTTGAATAAAAGCTTGAGCAATGAGCTTGACAAAGTTCCTGAAAAGAAACTGTTGCATTCAGTTGATGTTGTAAGAGCCAACTTTTAAATGCAACTTGTGGTTCTGATGTATGTATCATTCAGTTAGTTGCCCCTCTTGTGCTAGCAGGCTCGTAGCCCTTTGTCAGATAATGACCGAAATGTAATTAGCTAGTCCTGAGACATGAAAGTATCTGTGTGATCTCACCGCTCTTTAGCTGGGTTCTTCAGCAGACCAGACAGGACACTGAGAGAGCAGGAGGCATCAAAATAATCAAACATAACAGGCGCATAACTGACAAACTCATTTGTGGAGACATGATGACACGGACATAATGGTTCATTATTACATTGCACTGCTATTGGATCTCTTTGGATGTACATGTCTGGTGCATAAGGCAGCTCACCATGGACCTACTCAGTGATATTGAGTGTAGCTGGCTACACAGGGTAGAAGCTGCATTTCCACCTTCTGCTGATTCGAGGTACAGTGTGCTAGGAGTTTTTTTGGGCCACTGTGAATGTGTTTATTTACACCCACCAGCAGAGCATTAATTAGGAAACTGGGGCAATGAGGGGAGATGCTGAGCTGAATATGCATTAGGCCTGTGCTTTGTAGTGACTGAGGGGTTCTTGGGTTTGCTCTCTTGCCAAACTATCACTCCTCTTGCTCTGTCTCTTTCCATCACACTCACACAAGCACACACATCCGCTCACTTCCTCTCACCCGGCCCTCATTCTCCTCCTCTTTTCTCTTTCATTTCCTCTCGCCAGCCCTTCTTTCCCTTTTTCATTCATTGCATCTGTGTGGTTTGGTGAAGGGCAGGAGTGCCGAGCTCTAATTTGATCGCTTAGTAGCTCAGTGATTCACTGGACTCTCTCTCTCTCTCTCTCTCTCTCTCTCTCCCCTCCATAGCTTGATGTATTTTGCCTCCCTGTTTAAAAGTCAAGAAGTTAAGTTCCACAGATTCATTAAATCATCATAATGGTGAAAACAGAGTACTAAAACATATGATGAAGCCTGGCTATTATGCATTATCTTAATGTGATGCTAATAACTATTGATACATTTAGAACTGTCCTACATTTGGACTGCTAGTGTATCACTGATTTGGTTGACTGTATAAACCAATACTTTTATATGTTATTTGTAACGTGAGTCAGAGTCAACTGACATCTCCTTTACAGCAAATCCTGGTTCTTTATCATCTGTATTTCACCATGTAGCTCATATTTATGCAAGACTTAGAATAGCAAATGTACAGTATACTGTATATAAAGGAACATGATTTAGATTAGAAGTGTAACAACTAAATTTTTTGGAGACCAATGGATTATCAAGTACCATTAAGTGGATCAGTCTATGTCAAGCACAGATCTGTGTAATCAGTTGATTACATTAGTCTTTATCATTGTCACTGGCCCAATAACTGAAACCACTGTATGGCCAAAGCATCTGTGATGTTTTTCATACGGAAGGCAATTCTAAAAAAGTCACATATGGCTTTCTGTACACAAAAGGCTACATGCCTGAAATACTTATATCTGCATAAAACAACGGATCAGCTCATTTAGCGTGAAGCTCATTTAAGTGAAATAAAACCGTAAGCACAGCATCTCACTTCATAAACAGAATGAAATGACAGGATATGAGTTCAAATCAATGCCAGTTTCAAAACCAGTGTAATTTACTGTGTAACCTGTAAGATGTTTTTTTATTAGGTTTGACAGTTTACAGGCTCCCCATGGGACACCTGAATCTGACACAGGTTTCAACTCTTTCAACTATTTTTACACAATGCATCAATCTCGACATTTTTCCCTCACAAAGTTATGATATCTGAAATGGACAATGTTAACTGGCTTGTGTTGAGTACTAAGGTATAAGTAAGGTAACTTAGTGTACACTACTGTGCATACACGTAGGTCACAGTTGCTAACTAATTTCATGCCCCATTCATCTTGTTATACTCTTCTTTGGCCCCTTTAATTGCCTCTTCAAACATGTCTGTCCTCTACATTCACTTTGCCTCTCTCTTTCCTGTGCTTCCTACTTTCTAACCAGATGGCAGACTATAGTTATCGGGCTGCAGTGAGGGAGCTGGTCCCTCAGCTGAGTTACCTAGACGATGTAAGGGTGGAGGAGGACAGACTGAGCTGCAGCAGTACCATGGGAGAAGACTGGGCCATTCTCCGAAACTCCATCAGAGACGGCAACACCTCTCAGGCAGCCACTGAAGACGGTGTGTGTATGTATGTGTTGTTTTCAGTAATTTGATGACAACCAGGATAATCACGGCATGAGTATTTAATGGGCCACTCACTTTTGTCTTTGTAGAAGAAACAGTAGAAAGTGCTTACAGCAGACCCGTCTCAGCCAGGCGCCCTGCTTCCAGCCTCTCTTGTGTCTGGCCCCTCTCGTCATCAGGATCCAGACCCCACACTGGCTCCAGATCCGGATCCAGACCTAGTTCTGCAGATTCAGACTTAACAACAGTAGAAGCAGAAACCAGCATCCTGACCCATGGTTAGGACGGTGGCCACTTCACCAGTGTTACAAACCCATCTCTGTTGCTACTTTAGTGTCTTCAATAAGTAGATCTGTGTCAAAACTACTGACCCATGAGAACTGGTACTATTTTGTTTTAGTACCAGTTCCAGTTTCTTCTCATTAGCATCAGATAAATATTTTCAACAGCTATATTTATCAAACAGTGCCACCAAGAGGTCCTTTTTGTGTCAGAAAACAGTGTGATTCACTGGAATCCTTCTCTTATCTGTTGATTTTTGAAGGAGCTGGCAAGATCTTGTTCTGTGGAAATCCAGTCCAGGCTATTCGAGCAAGGAGAGAAAAGTTGAGGGTAGGTGATATGTGTTGGAAGAAGAACCTTCCTTCAATTCAGCAGGAAAAAAAACATTTTGTTCTTGAAAAAAATCTCTGTCAATGAGATATCAAATCAGTCCACACCAATCATTTCTTGCATGCTGTTTCCCATGCATGTAGTGTCGACTCAGAGGAACAACAAGTTTTATGGGCTTTGAGAGGCAATTATGGCTATCTGACACCACCAGCTCATCTCTTTATTGTCATGTCTGTCAAGGTAAACTGAGTGCAGCAGCAGGCACACTAAGGTGTGGACCCAAACGAAGACTATGGCAAAGAAGATGCAGTTCAAGAAAGGTTTATTGAATAAACGAAACAGGTTTACATCCAAATAAAGGCAAGAATCCAAACAAAGGGGTAAATCCAAAAAGCACAGAGAAAACCAAAACCAAGAGAACAATCCAAAAATCCAGGGAGACAGCACATAAGCAGAAAACTCACATATAACGAGAATGCTACAAAGACAGAACAGAACTGACAGCTTAAATACACAGGCAAATGAGTTGGGAGGGAGTGCACAGGTGAACGACATGAGGAACTAATTAGGCACAGCAGACACACAGTGAAACAGTGCAGAATGAAAAACAAAAAGGCAAGACAGACTATGAAACCAAAACGAAACAGATCAGAGTAAAGAATTAACCAAAAAGACCATAAACGCAAGCAGACAGATCCATAAACCAAAGAACAAAAACACAGGCAGAGGTTACAAACTATAATCTATCAGACAAGACTAAACTAACAGAACAGGACCAAAGCTAGACATGAACACGAGGCACTGACGGTAACAAAATAAAACCGGAAGTAAAGCTTGCGACAATATTCAAGGATGGACAAGATATAAATAACTATAACTATAAAAATACAAATCAAACATAACCCAAAACCAGACTACAACAATGTCAGTATAAACAGAAGGAGCAGAGTCAGAGGGACTTGACACCATGTGATCTGTCATACACATGGCTGCTGTCACTCTCACTGTTTTCTTCTTACCTTTCCATCCTACACTGCCTGCCCCTCTTGTGTTTGCTCTCTCTCTCTGTCTGACCATTACTCTATTATCTATCCATAATTAATGTACTCAGCTCTTAGGCCTCTATTCTGTTAAGTATCCTAGCTTCCTCTCCTACCCCTTATGCTCATTCTCCCTCTCTTCTGTCTCATAGACAGCACCCACCAGGTCTACTTTCACCCCCTGTGACCTGCCCATCCATGTACCCGAACACACATTCGACCTTGAGGAGCCTGATGTTAGAGAACGCGGAGATGTGTTTGCTGAGCTTAGAGCTTGGAGGCAGCAGCACAGCCGGTATTAACTACTTACACACCTCACCCCCTTTTTGTTAAGCTGGAAACACACTAAATAAAATAAAGACTATTTTGTAACATCTGGCTTATGATGACAGACCAAACTCACCATGAGAACTCACATAGTTATATCTAATACCTATCAAGGATTTGACCTTTAAATTCATGATGCGGAGCCCAGCTACAGCCAGTTAGGATTTTAGAAGTCTTCTATTTTGTTCCTCACTTCAGCTGTTAACATGGCGTCCTCCATACATTTTAGGCGGATGACACTAAACATCTTTCTACATGGTTTTTCAGGCGTCTCCAGGCCATAGAGACAGAAAGATTACCACAGGTCCTGGCTATTCAGCATAGTGATGAAGGACAAGGGGAAGATGATGATGATGAAGAAGGATTTGGGGGTCTAAGTAATGGCAGTAGTGATGACGAACATGGTGAGGAGAAGCATGGTGACAGCCTAGATACTGCCTCACCAGATTCCTCTTTCCAGTCTCTTTCTCCAGGTGAATACTCAACGAATGAACCTAATTGCTGTTGCTTTTTAAACAACGGTGAAACTCTGAGATGATGATGATCATATATCCACAATAACACCTCAGTCGAAAAGGCGTAACAAATGATATACCAGTAGATTACAAACTGTAATGGCAGCCACTAAAACTTTTGTAATGACTTTCTTTTGTTTTTTAGACCTGCATCCCAGACAGGCCTTATCCCCTGACATGGCTCGATTGTCCCTATCCCCAGACACCCCACTATCCCCTTCTGCCCCTCTCAGTGTCACAGCAGCGACTGGTAATCGCAAACTACCAGGGATCCGTGCACGTAGGCTTCGACTCAGCAAGACCAGTTCAGAAGGTGTACCTGATTTCAGCAGTTCAGACCTGACTCTCCAGAGGTTCCAGCGATTGGCCAAGACTGATGTGCCTCTGTTGCCCCTGCCTGCACACATACCCCACCCGCCTCCAACAAGTGCCCTGGGAGAAGGACACATGGATTCATGGTATGGCATTATAAGATTACAAATGTGTATGTATTTGTAAAGTATCAAAACAATAGATTTGATCTGTTTTTGCTGTTTAAAGTCCATGTATTATGTAGTTTGAAATTAACTGTGAATATAAATGGTGAATTAAATACAATTTATCAATGACGATGTGTTTTTCTAAATGCGTGATGTGATAATTTCAGAATAACATTCTTCCATTGATTGTGACTAGTTGTTCATTAGCACTGTGTAACAGCTTTGTTAATTATTCAAATAGGGTGGTACTAAAGAAAGGTTCTCTGTCTTTCAGTACAGAGATGGACTTACCCAGCGTACAGTCTGGCAACAAGCATCTACAAACTCCTCACATGTTCAAACCCCTGGACAGGCCAGCGATTACTCGTCCTCACACAGCCAGGGCAGCTCTGCAGAAACATCACCAGCACCACAGACTCCAGTCCTGCAGAGGGAGCTCACAGCCCGACTGACACCACCAATAAGCAGATGTTTGGCCTTGCCAGTGATCAGTATGATTAGTGTTCCATAACCTTAAAAACGGACAGCTCGGAGGCCACTGAGGGATTACCTGTATTTCCCAGAAATGTTGAGACTCACCATCACACCACCATCCCGTGACCTCGTTACTCACAGTGCTTTAGCATGAGTAATTAAGTTATTAACATGAGTAGCAGTTTAATTGGAGGACTTGCTATGGTGAGATAACCTCTCTAATTCTACTGAGTTGGGGGTTTTCTGAATCATAAATTCAATTTGCATTTCTCAGGTTGAAATATTGAATAATTATAACCCAAATGCTACTTTGTGTTCACATCAGTTCAATCCATTTTAGATTCTCTGAATACTGAGCTGGAAGGTTAATAAAATGTAATGGTTCATTTCAGCAAAGGTCTTGATATTCATGGTGTAATGGTCAATTTTGCCACTTGAGTGCGCTCTCTGTAAAAAACTAAATCAAAACACTTAATCCCTTGCTCCAGCCACCTTGAGCAAGCAATCTTTCATATCCACCAACATTAAAACACATACTTAATTTGTTTTGTGGCCAGTTCGTCCACATCTAAGGATTAGCATTGACATTAAAGAGGGTGTGATTTACAGTATACACATAAAAGCTTTAAGCATGGACCTATGACCTATTCACTGATGCACAACATGAGTAACAGAGTGGAACACATCAAGTCCCTTTAGAGTTAATATGTTCTCAATGTGACATATCCTGTTGTTTTCCAAGAAGTATGAGACATCCATCCATTACACTGAGAAGGACAATCTCAGACTGATTTTGTCCTGATACACACTTACAATATTTGGCTGGATGAGGACCAGAGAGGCAGCCACAACTAATACCTTAGTAGTTCTTATGGGCTTATAATATTGAGCGTGGCGGCTTGTTTTGAAGCTGTCACATCGATCTTACCATGAAATTCCATTTCTGGGGAATCGCTATGACTGGCACGCAGATGTTTCCAAACTTGCCCAGACCTTTTCTATGAATACCTGACATGGGCGAACACACATACACACCAAGACGCACACTTTAGAAGGCACTTTGCATATTTCGCCTATGCTTCAGTTCTCTCCACAGAAACATGATGCTAATAAATTAGTAAAAGTAACAAAGCACAGGCAGTCAGAAGACCTCCAGACCGCTGCAAACACTCCTCACTGCAGTGTTGGTTTGAGAGATGTCAGGCACAGGAATGTACGATGTGTGTGTACATGAATGTGTGCATATCTGCTCAACCATGAAACAGCTCTTATGTAACATGTTTGTGCACTTCTTATGTTCTAGCAACTCTTTCCCTCATGTAACTGTATCACCTTCGATCAACTTCTCACACGACTTCTTCATTTTTTGGTATTGCTTGGCTCCCTCGCTCCGTGTCAGGTGTTTTCAGCCACGCTCTCATCTCACTGGTTCTATTATGTCTCAAGACACAGATGGAGGAGAAGGGAATGAAAGGAGAGGCCTTTTATGGTGGGATAGTGTCCACCTACTCTCTCTGAATAGTCTTGTAATTTCTCTGAAATGTATCATTCTCACAGCTGGTCAGAGACGGGGACCTAACCTGGCCTGTGAGATGCTTTCTTCCACTCCCCAGTTATTACGAGATGATGTGCCAAACCAGTAAGGCCTGGTTTTAATACTGTGAGAAAAGCTGAAAATCAGATTATAAAGATAAACAACTTCCTCTGAGTAGTGAAAGAGATGTTCAGTACAGTAATGACTTATATTCTTTATAGCATTTTGAATTACAACAGAAAAGCATACCTCTATTTCTCTGTTATCTAATACAGCACTGTGGTTAGAAAAGCCATGGTCCGTGAAGATGGTCTTTTTAACCAAAAATCAAATTAAAAGACAATTATAGCACTGCAGAGCCACCGTGTCATAGATTTGCTTTATGAAACCTTTTGCCCAGAGATGATTATAAAGAACAGAAGGAGGATAATGGTATTATGGCAAATAGATGATGCAACAGCAAAATAAGTGCACCTCTGTCACAAATAAACACACGCATACAAAGGTAAACAAAGTGCATCCTTTTCTGTCAGACAAAAGTGGAAAAAACTGTGTCAACTCATGCTGTGAATACGACTAAAACAAATACCAGATGTGGTTGTTGAGATTGAATTCAATTCACGATCATGTCAGGTGGGTAGTAGTTACATTCCCCAAAAGGCTCCATCAAAGCTTTCAGAGACAGGAGCTTCATATCATAGTCTAGCCACATGCACTGCTGCTTTATGTTGTAACTGCAGCTAACAAAATGGGTGTGAATAAATTACAGGGAAACACAATGCAAAACACCAACTTAACTTTGTGGCTGAAAGGGAATGCACATTTTATTTTATTATCATTGGAAACTACTACCTTCTTGTTTTGACTTTAAATGAGTCACTTTTCCTATACGGAACTGTGAATGGAAATACCCAAGTATGAGTTCAGACAGGCCCAGGTGAAGCTGTTTGTACAATACATGCAAGACCGCAGGATCCTGCTGAAAGGAACATTCCATGATATTTAAGCTGCATAACTCATTTTCTGCTGACACCTTTACAACCAAATGCAGACACGCACTCCATAATGGTATTCAAAGGTATGAAGTTAATCACAATTACTGCTTCATATTTACATTTTAGCTTTCAAAATCTCTTCCACAGGTAAAGTCGTTGTCTTTGTGTTGATGTGCATTACCAGGCAATTCCACCATCAGTGTCAGTTTACTTTTAACATTTTCAAGCCCCTCAGCAATTCCAAATCCATATTTAAGAGAACTGTTTTTGTCACATTTAACTAAAACCAAAAAGCTGAATTGATATACCGGAGCTAATTTCAAGGTCATGTGTTCAGGAACTATGAGCAGCAGGAGGCACTGGGGACTACCTGTTGTTCAAAAGGAAGAGATGAAATGCTGTAGAACTAGGATAGAAACCTGATATTGCATACATCAATTTTCTATTACAGTATCTTGGCATGCTTCTAGAAAAAAATGAGTGTTTAATAATCCATTCAAACAGAACAAAGCCACAGACAGCTGTTGTAGTTTTCTGGTTTGTGATTCTGTTTCAGTTGTCCTCTCTTCAAAACAGTCTTGTTTTAAAGCAATGATTTTAGTTTGTGGGACAAATACAAAATTTATTTTTTGTTTTGCATACAGTATGTTGGCAAAAGCACACCCCCATAAACATGATTCAGTAGTTGTTTGGCACAAATACATCTGGGGCGGCAATCATTTTATGTTTTCCTAAATTAACCTGAGTAGAGTGATAGGCATACATGATTTCATCTTCTAATGGTAGGTTATAGACTATTTTGAGATTTTATTTTGCTTTTCAGCACTTTATAGACATGTTTTGACCATCACATTTTTAATTCAACAACAAAAAATAAACATTTTATTGAAAGTTTTTTTTTTTTTTATCACATTCCAGTACAAAAATACAACAGTAAAAGTAAGAAGTTAGCTAAGCTTGTTGAGGTCAGTGATTGTTAACACATGGATGGTGTCTCTTTACTTTTTTAGGCAACAGCATACCCTTTATTAAAGACATTTTTATTAGATTAGATTAGATTTTTACAGAAGCAATTACAACCTTCCCCTTCTAACACTTCCTCCTCATTGTTGCTGAAGCACATGCTGTAACATGAGCATTCTCTGCATCAGTGCTGTATTTTGTCATGGCCTCTAGAGGTGAGGTCTGGAAACTGCAAGGTGGCTGAATTTCAGAGTGTAATCTCTGTAATTAGTTATGGTACAGATAATCCAACAATGTAGCCTAGTGTAATCTGTCTGCTGCCGTCTCAGTTAGCATACCTCTAATATAAAAACTTTACTGTTTACATAATATAAATCATATTAAGTCTAGTGCTGCCAACAGGCTGTGTGTCTGGGACTTTCTCAAGCCATGTGTTGACACAGGTTAACCAACTTTTTATTATAATAGGCAAGGACTAATTCCCAAGTCACTCCCCCTGTATAATGTTAGTCTGTATGCTGTTGCCTTGGCAGTACAATTCCTAGCTTACAGTAATCATGTGTAGTTACTTTTTAATATGGGATTTTGTATTTAAACTCTCAGGGGATTCATGTCACCACATTTATGTTAACATTAATATTCTCGAAGAATGCCATTAATTTGAAACTGCTGACCGGAAATCGTATTTCTATTTCCTGGATGGCTTGACACCAGCGAACTTTTGACTACGGGATCTAAGGTTACAGGATAAAACACTCAGTTTTTTCGTCTTATCAAGATCGACTACCAGCTAGATCACCTGTAAGTTGTTTTCACTTTGTCTTTTATTTTCTATCAGAATAATGTGAAACTGAAACGCTTTTGAACGCTAGTAAAAAAAAGGATGCAACAAGTGCTGGTAACGTTAAGTGAGCTCAGAGCCACTTGCAGGGTGATGACAGGCTGACAATAAACTGGGATACAACGAACACTTTTCTCGCTGACTCTGCTGTGCAACAAGAGAAATTACGCTTAATATAGTCGACGAACTTTACGAAGTAAGTTTGATCGGATTCGTTGCCATGTTATGTTGCCCAGTCGTCAAATAGTGGTTAACTAAAATAACCTAGATCTTTTCAATAATCAGTTAACGCCGGGTTGTGCTAACGTAACCTGATAAATTGTTAATAACTGTATCATTAGGAGGTTAAAGTTGGGTTAAATTGAGCTAAAATAATGTCAAGCCAAAGGTAAGTTAAATGACAATATTAATCAAGATGTCAACAGCAACAACCCCAACGTCACAGACGCTAACGTTAATGACTAATTCCTTGTCAAATTCTGCGAGGATATTTGAATTGAATCAGCTCAATGCAATTAAAGAGATTTTTATTTTTTTTTGCACAGCTGAGTGTTGTACCAACCTCTCTGCTTCTTGGGGAATTTAACCATTCTGAAACTGGCCATTTAGGATTTTTTAAATAATTATTTGTACTACACACCCACATAGTTGGCAGTTAAGGGAAGTATTATTTTCACTTATGAAGAGCAGTAGAGTTTTTTAAAGCCCTTTGTTGTGCTAGAAGATAATGTGGCAGTACAATACATCTTGAGATTCTTGAATCAGATAATAGTATAGGCTAATGGTGAAAACGACCAATAACACTCTTAATAAAAAAAATGAGAAGCTTGAATTGGAGAGTGCCATTTTACAGCCGATACCATTTGTGAAAATCCACGATTCTTAATACCACTATGGCAAAAAAACAAAAACAGAACAATAAATCCCATGTATTTTAACATACACTCCTTAATTTAATAAAAACATTTATCTTTACAAAAAACAACAATAGCAACATGTTGACTTCAAGTAGACTAATGAATCAATAAAGAATCTAATCTGAAAATGTAATGGAAAAA